GTAGAGAAGGATGGCGGGGCGGGCCCATTATCCACCAAGTTTCAAAGCAGGAAACAAGATATTTTTCGGCTATAAAAAGAAAGTTTGATATGACTACCCTAAAAGTTGTTTGTAACTTTTTGCACAATAGATTGATGAATTACATGTCCTTGAATATATAATTAAATTGTGGTGGTTAATTTTCAGGGAGTATATGGTTATCCTATTGAGATCCAAGCACTCTTCTTTATGGCACTGAGAAGTGCTTTGGCAATGATGAAGCACGACACAGAAGGGAGCGAATTTATTGAGAGAATAGTGAAGCGTCTACATGCCTTGAGTTATCACATGAGAAGTTATTTCTGGCTTGATTTCCAACAATTAAATGACATATACCGCTATAAAACTGAAGAATATTCTCATACTGCAGTAAATAAGTTCAATGTTATCCCTGATTCAATCCCAGAATGGGTATTTGAATTTATGCCAACACGTGGCGGTTACTTTATCGGGAATGTTAGTCCAGCAAGGATGGACTTCAGATGGTTTGCTTTAGGAAACTGTATTGCCATCTTGTCCTCCCTTGCCACTCCCGAGCAGGCTTCCGCTATTATGGATCTCATAGAAGCACGCTGGGACGAGCTAGTAGCAGAGATGCCTTTAAAAATATCTTATCCAGCACTAGAAAATCATGAATGGCGACTTATAACTGGTTGTGATCCCAAGAATACCAGGTGGAGTTACCATAATGGAGGATCTTGGCCAGGTTCTTCCTTCAGCTCTTCACTTGATTTTTTTACTAACTTTAACGATTTCTTATTAAGAAAGAAAAAGGAATGTAGAGCATGAATTAGATGATCATAAGTTTAGTTATTGTGTTAAAAGGATTATGCTTGTAGCTTTACTAGAACACATNACTTGTGATAGTATAAAATTAATGTTAAGTAAAAATGTGTTCTAGTAAAGCTACAAGCATAATCCTTTTAACACAATAACTAAACTTATGATCATCTAATTCATGCTCTACATTCCTTTTTCTTTCTTAATAAGAAATCGTTAAAGTTAGTAAAAAAATCAAGTGAAGAGCTGAAGGAAGAACCTGGCCAAGATCCTCCATTATGGTAACTCCACCTGGTATTCTTGGGATCACAACCAGTTATAAGTCGCCATTCATGATTTTCTAGTGCTGGATAAGATATTTTTAAAGGCATCTCTGCTACTAGCTCGTCCCAGCGTGCTTCTATGAGATCCATAATAGCGGAAGCCTGCTCGGGAGTGGCAAGGGAGGACAAGATGGCAATACAGTTTCCTAAAGCAAACCATCTGAAGTCCATCCTTGCTGGACTAACATTCCCGATAAAGTAACCGCCACGTGTTGGCATAAATTCAAATACCCATTCTGGGATTGAATCAGGGATAACATTGAACTTATTTACTGCAGTATGAGAATATTCTTCAGTTTTATAGCGGTATATGTCATTTAATTGTTGGAAATCAAGCCAGAAATAACTTCTCATGTGATAACTCAAGGCATGTAGACGCTTCACTATTCTCTCAATAAATTCGCTCCCTTCTGTGTCGTGCTTCATCATTGCCAAAGCACTTCTCAGTGCCATAAAGAAGAGTGCTTGGATCTCAATAGGATAACCATATACTCCCTGAAAATTAACCACCACAATTTAATTATATATTCAAGGACATGTAATTCATCAATCTATTGTGCAAAAAGTTACAAACAACTTTTAGGGTAGTCATATCAAACTTTCTTTTTATAGCCGAAAAATATCTTGTTTCCTGCTTTGAAACTTGGTGGATAATGGGCCCGCCCCGCCATCCTTCTCTACTAATTAATTGGAGTCAGATCTAACATTTTCATCAGGATAAATACAATGACTGGAGGCTGGAGTAGTTGTGTTTGCGATTTACTTCAAATAAATATTCAGTCATACGTAGATCAACGAATCACCAATAAGCAAAAGAAGATGCTTAGTATGTGCTTCAAAGCACTTCTAACTATGATCATAACAGAATTCCAAAGAGGTAGAACTTCAGTGTATCTTCAAGTTATGCATGAAATTTAGACTTTCAAATCTAGTGTTAGAATCTGGATACACAATTACAAGGTAATGTAGTAGAAATTTTTATCGCTTGAACATTTTGTTAATACTGGGTGACATATATGAAGAAAGGTAAGACATGTTATACCCATACAAAAGAAAGAAAAGTAAGAGAAGTTATATTCCATGGGTGGTTGAACTGAAGAAGAAGCAGGGAAAACAAAGGAAGCTGACACGGACTAAAGGCAAAAATATAAAAAAGAATAGAAAATGGAAATTCATCCAATAAGATATATATTAAGACATGGTTTTAATTTTGATCAGGTCTTTTAAGACATGGTTTTAAGTAACATTTCTACTTTTAACTATTGTATTATAGCGCCGCATTACCAAGAGAAAGAGTACCTATCAGGTAAAAGAGAGAAACAGTATACTCCAGTTATCTCATAGACAGTAACATTATTGACAATAAAAGGTAATGCATCAAAAACAGTACAATACGTGTGATAAACATTTAAAAAAAGGAATATATAAATCTATCATTAGGAAAGACAACAATTGAACAAAAAGCAGCATAAAAACAAAGTAGTGAAAGCTGCCAACCTACAGCAAAGAAACAGCACAAAGTAGAGAATGTGTATCCATTTGGTTACTACTAAAGACAAGTATGTCATATTTCAAATGGTGTGGCATGTCTAGCTTATAAGAAATCTTGCCCACCTTGGCAATGATCTCAAACGGCCCCTCATAGTGTTGGATCAAAGTTCAAACTTTGATTAACGCCCCTCAATGATTTGAATTGACGGGGATTAAGCTTCACCGTGACTTTAGCCCCAGTTCGGTAGTGAACCGGACGCCGCCTACGATCAGAAAATTTCTTCATCTTGCGGGCCATATGAAATGCGCCCGGATTCTTGAATTCAACACTCACGGGCAAGGACTGTGGCGTGTTGGGTGCTGCAAGCTCAAGGAGACTCCTCCCGGTGGCTTCACTACGTTACAAATTGTAAGAGAACTGAGTTGTGTCAAGCAGCTTCGACCGATCCTTTTGATTGGCGCTAACGAAGTATCTAAAGTACAGCTCCAAAAGTGCGTTGGCCCTCTTCGTTTGGCCGTGGATTTAGATGAGAAGTGCAACTCCAACAAATTGAACAACTCCCTCCAAAAACACCAGTGAACCCTGGATCACGGTCGATAATGACGTACTTTGGAACACCCTAATGTTTGACCACGTCGTGCTGCCTCTTTGGCTTTGGAATTGCAGTACTGACAGTGAAGGTAGCATACTTTGAAAAGCGATCAACCTAGTGTTTTGGATAGCGTGCGGCGACAAATAGCAACGAGGGCCCGCTTCACTGAGGCGAGAGGCGTGCAGTGAAGCGCTCACCTTTTTGAAGTGAAGCAACAATTTATACAAAAAAATAAAATATTATATGTATAACTAAAAACTCAATTAATTCTACTCTATAACTCAAAAAGGAGCAAATTTCAGGTTTGAAGTTTTGAAGTTCTCTGCCTCTACCCAACAGTGAAAAAATTGAAAAAAACAGAGCAAAACAATAGCAAAAACAGGGTGCAGTACTGCTGCTCAATCAAAAACAGAGCAAAAAAAAAAAAAAAAAGAGAAGATCAAAAGAAGAAGAAAAACGAAAAAAAAAAACATAAACAGACTCTCTGTTCTGTTTTTGCTGCACTATAGCTCGACAAAAAACAGAGCAAAAAAATAGAAACAAGAAGAGAAGATCAAAAGAAAGAAGAAGAAAAACGAAAAAAAGAAAAACAGAGCAACAGACTCTCTGTTCTGCACAGTTGCTCGACAAAAAACAGAGCAAAAAAAATAGAAAGAAGAAGAGAAGAAGAAGGAAAAGGAAGAAAGAAGAAGAAGAAAGGAAATCGAACAAGAGAAGCATACCTGGGCTGGGTCGACTTGGATGAAGAAGAGGATGGCAGAAACTTGAAGCTTTCAGGTCGAAATCGTCTTGGGTGGTCTTGGTTGCTCTGTTGTTTGAAGGTTGAAGAAGAAAGAAACTCGAAATCGCTGCAAGCCCTAATGTTTTAAGTCGTTGGTCTTTTCCTTTAATGTCTGCGCCTTTTTCTTTTCTTTTTTTTCAAAAAGCAACGCCACAGCTCGCCTCTCGCTACACAGCGCCTCTCACTACACAGGCAGAGGCGCTCGCCTTTTACAATCGCAACGCAACAAAGCCAAAATAGCGCAGGCTGCTCGCCTCGCCTCGCCTCACGCTATTAGCGCTGAGGCGAGCGCTACTTATAACACTGGATCAACCACTACCATGACGGTGCCAAAGCCCTTCGAATTTGGCAAGCACGTAATGAAATCCATTTTGACGATGTCCCATGGCCTTTCAGCACAGGTAAAGGCTCAAGCAAGCCCCCAGGTGCCTTGTGCTCCACCTTGTCTTGCTGGCAAACACGACATGTTTGGACATTGACCTCAATGTCATCCCTCATATGAGGTCAATAGTAGGATGACTCTAACAATGTCGTTGTGCGCTTTTTTTTTTAACTGATGACTCTAACAATGTCATTGTGCGCCTTTGTCCCGGATGCCCTGCTTATAGTATGTCATGACTCTCTTTGATCAAAGTACGCCTAAGGTTCCCCCACTTAGGCACGTAAACACGTCTTCCAGTGGTGTATAGAAAAACGTGGCAACAAGTTATTTTCAGTCCCAAAAGAAGTTGTCGCCTAAGCAAGCACGATGGGAAGATTTCTTGGTAGATTTTGATTATTCCTTGGAGTACAATCCGGGGTAAGCCAACGTTGTTGCCAATGCATTGAGTCGAAAAAGGTGCTAGCGTCCATTGTTAGCACCACCAATTGTGACATTCTTGATGCCATCAAGCAAGGATGCAACATGATCTAGTGGCGAAGCAGCTTGCCAGCCAAGGCAAGACAAAGAAATATTGAGTAGAAGATGGGCTTCTATACACCACTGGCAAATGTGTTTACGTGCCTAAGTGGAAAAATCTTATGCGTACTTTGATAAAAGAGGGTCATGACACGGTATAAGCATGGCATCAGGGAGGAAAACGCATAACAGAATAGTTGGAATCATCCTACTATTTGCCTCATATGAGGGATGACATTGAGGTCTATGTCCGAACATGTCTTGTTTGCCAGCAAGACAAGGTGGAGCACAAGGCACCCTGGGCTTGCTTGAGCCCTTACAAGTGCTGAAAGGCCATGGGACATCGTCAAAATGGTTTCATTACATGCTTGTCAAATTCGGAGGGCTTTGGCACCATCATGGTAGTGGTCGATCGTTTTTCAAAGTCTGCTACATTCACGGTCACCACCGCAAATTGCAAAGCCAAAGAGGCAGCACGACGTGGTCAAACATTAGGGTGTTCCAAAGCACATCATTAGCGACCGTGATCCATGGTTCAATGGTGTTTTTTGGAGGGAGTTGTTCAATTTGTTGGGGTTGGAGTTGCACTTCTCAACAAGTTTTCATCCAAACCCATGGCCAAACGAAGAGGGTCAACGTATTTTTGGAGGTGTACTTGAGACACTTCGTTAGCACCAATCAAAAGGACCGATCGAAGCTGCTTGACACAGCTCAATTCTTTTACAATTTGCAACGTAGTGAAGCCACCGGGAGGAGTCCCCTTGAGCTTGCAATAGGGCAACAACCCAACATGCCACAGTCCTTGTCCGTGAGTGCAGAATTGAAGAATCCGGGTGCATTTCATATGGCAAAGGCATGGGAAGAACAAGTTGATATGGCCAGCTCTTATTTAGACAAGCCTGCACGTAAGATGAAGAAATTTGTTGATCATAGGCGGTGTCCAGCACACTACCGAATTGGGGATAAAGTCATGGTGAAGCTTAATCAAGAAGATTGAGCCCATAATTGATCATCAGTTAGCCCGAGGCAAAGAATGGGCAATTCGAGTGTTCAATTTCTTGTTTATTGGAAGGGACAGTCACCCGAGCAGGCATCGTGGGAAAAATATGAGGATTTGTGGCCGTTCAAAGATCAAGTACATGAATACTTGAAGCTTTGTGGCGCCGCGGTTGTCGCTATTTCATGTAGGGGAGAATGTTGTGCCCCGCCAACGTCCCTATTGTTTTTCCCACCTAAAGCTGAACAATCCGATTCAAATATGGTTTCCACAAGCAAAGGGGTTTGTCCACATGTGCTACCAACATATGAAGAAGTCAAAGACAAGCATGGGACTCAATTAATGCAGCCTTGTCCTAGCTCCCAGCAGCTAAGCGTGTCTGGTGCCACAAAGCTGCAAACTGAAAGCGACAACCATGGAAGTCAAGGCAAGACATGGTAGTTTTAACCGAGTGTTGACTGGCGCACTTTCCTCTTTTAGTTAGGCATCTTTAGAGGATATTCCAATATAATTAGGATCATGTAGTGACAGTTGTTTATATACTAATGTATAGGCCTTAGGGCACTCATCTCATACTTTGTATTCCTCTCTTTATCAAGTAAATCAGAAAATAGAATTTTGCCTTCCAGATTCGTATGCCTTTGTCTTTCATTATTTTCGTGTGTCTCTGTTTGTCAAGCTCAAGCATGAGTTGGTGCTTATTTCTTGGTAGGAATGAAACCTTGGACCACATAGAGGCGGTCAAGGTTGTCTGCCTAGTTGAGTTAGGCCCGTGACACAAGCACTCTATAGAAAATTATTAAACACGTTGAAGTTAGAAGTGGAACTTGCTTCGTTACTATCTAATATCATATGTCTTCAACAAAAAGATTCAAAATTCAGAAACAACGACTACTACTACACTTCATTTCCAATCAAGTGGGGGATTTGAACTGAATTCCGATAATAGGTGTTTATTTATTCTGTTCAAATTTTCTTTCGTTATTGGCCTGAGGGAGTGGCGAGGAATTACTGATAAACAAGAACAGACGAAAGCAGCCTAATACATACCAAGTATATCACAGCTGTAAGTTGTATTATGGCACAATCAAAGAAAATATATGCAAGCTAAGGCGATAAAACACTTTACCATTCTTCTATCAATCATTGAGCATCCATCAGCACAGAGCAAAGTAGGAAATGTATCAAATCCTTCGGACAAACATAAGCTCAATATAAGCCTCATTCCCCTTTGGCACTCGGGAGTTTCAGCAAGACTGACGTCTCCGGTAGATTTTGTGTATGCACGGAGAAGAATTATCCACCAAAATCCAGAATCAACTGGAGCTACTCTTCCAATTGCACTCTCCCCAAAATCTGCCATTATTGTATCAGTCTTACGAACTGGATCATGAAGAACCTTGAAACTAGCAGGCATAACTCCTTCCCCCAGCTTAAATCTATCTACTCTTTTCTCCCATCCTTGAAGCTGAAGTGTCTTCAACAGGAAGTTTTTAACTATATCTGGCTCTCCATTCATCAGGAAGGCCAAAGCACTAGGAACAAAATCTCGAACAAAAACCTACACATCAAACGAAAAACTTAAATTGACAGATGCTACAAAGTCACAAGACAGTGTAGAACACTGCTGGATTGTGTATTTAACATGGACCTGATCATAATTGAGGACTTCCTCAGAGGCATGGTCAACAGCAGCAATTGTACCAACTGGTTGGCCTCGAAAGTGAACCAAAGAACGGCGGAGAGCGTCCCATGCTTCAGCAACCATTGGATGGGGCTCAAAAGAGTTCCGTGCCGATGAAGCTGGGGTGTCCAAGGCAGACCTTCCTGGCGAGTAAGCACTCTCATAATTATCTAATCCTCTGCTTAGGCCTATGGATAACTCACTGAGAGACCTCTCATCAAAAGATCTCTGTCTCTCAATGTTTAGCCTTGGCTTGTCAAGAAGCTTAGAGAGATCATAATCATCCATCTCAGAGATGGAGCAGTGTGAACCCACACTTCTCAGTCCAGTTCCTTCCATGTTCAGTCCTAACCCTTCAACTCAAACAAGTATTCTGTATGATAAACAAATAACCCGTTTTAGACCACTAACTAAGCTGTACAACTCATATAACAACACAAGCTTGTTTAATAGTAAATGGAGTAGCTATTTGACAACCCACTGCCACTCAGTCTCGGACAAAATAAAAGGCGCTTTTTAAATAAGAATATGGAACATATGGGAACTTTTATATACCGAAACTACAAAATAAACTACCCAGAATGGAAGTTATAAGAAACCAAACCAGCAAAACACTGTGGCCCAACTGAAAGAATTAATAACTCATCCATTATGCAAAGCAGACAAACAAACAAATACAGAAACTCACTTGTATTTGCAGTCTTATCCATTATTTCTCTCCACTGAAGGATTATTAATGAATAAACAGTACTACTAGTAATTAACTTAAGTTGCCATAACCAAAATAATCTTATCCACAAAAAAAGTATGCACATTAAACTGATATTACTTACTACTAATCAAGCCATAGCCAAGCTCTATTTTTTGGAGGATATTGATGCTATTAAAAAGAATAGAATATTGAGCTATATATCCTCCTATAATAATACCAAATAAATAGGCACAACTTAGACTAGAAGTTTCTTTAAAAGATCAAATCTTTAAAACTTTAAGCTCCCACCCAACTCAGAAAACAAGCTGCATTACACACTCTACTCCACCCAAAAGCAATAAATTTAAGAAGAAAAACGAAACTTTGAGATCCATACACAATGAACTAGAGCAAGAGAGAAACCCCATAAAGAAAATGAAATAATAATTTACTTAGAAGCTAATACACCAATTACCAAGAGCCAACTCAGATCCAAAAAAGAACTGTTTTTTGCACAAATATCAAGAAAAAGAAATCTCACAAAAGAGAGTACAGAGAGAGAGAGAGACCTTAGCTGGGAGAAAAAGGAGAAGGGGTTTATCCACCGGAAATAATGGAGGCCCGAATCCGGCGAGATAGCCGGAAAATAGGAAGTGAGAGAGAGTGTAAGTAGCACTGGAGAGAGAAGAGAAAAAAAAAAAAAAACATTTAGTGGAAAGCTGCTGATTTATTGAAACGAAAGTTGACATTTTGAGAGACTCTTAAATGGGGCCCTCAAAACCCCACTCTTGTAAGAATGCACAGCTAGGATATTGCAGGTTTAGGATAATAACACAAAATAGTGACAAATTATAGGTTACAGATTTGAACGGCAGAATTAGCAACTAAGGTAGGTTATTTATATCATACTCTTGGGTGCAGTTTTTTTCCGGATTCAAATGCGGACGCACACCGGAGAAAGAGGGATTATTGACATTCAAAAACTTTGGTAAAAACTCCATGTGGATCTGCAAATGTTTTCAAGAAATAGTCACATATTTGCATAGGCTTCGTTACCAATCTTTATGAGCAGTGATAAAATTATATTGAATGTCATGGTACCTCTGTGACTGCCGATCTTGGGTCCGTCTCTGCCCGGACTTTACGTGAATGCAGGATACTTTATGGACTGATGCATTTTTTTTAGCCGGCAAAATATGTTTGCATATTTTCACTCTAATCCACCCTTTCAACTTGGAAAAACATTTTTTTTAAATAAGACCTAATTTAAATTAATTTTGGACAATATTTGATTGAAATTGAGAAAAAATTGATTTTTAGTGTAATTTTAAAAAATACATGAATTACACTTGAAATAAAAAGTTCATAAACAGTTAAAAATCGTGAATAAAAAGAATTATTTCACTCAAGATACTCTTCAAACCATTATTGTAATATTTCACCACTATGTAAAAATATTAATGACTAAATTATTATTTACAAATAATCAAAATAGTTATTCAAAATATTGGAACAATATTGTTGCTCAAACATGAAACATGCCCTTAAATTGTCAATACCTTACAACAAAATTGTAATATTTATAGAAACCCCCTCGCGCCCAAGGATTCTTTGTCAACTAAAAGCTCTATGTCTCTTATCATCATCTGATGACAATAAAATATAAAATAAAGTTTCAAGTAATTGCTTGTTTTAACTAACTATATGATTGACATGCATGTTCAAAGTTGTAACACATTACTTATCTTAAACTTTAAGTTAATTTTATATAATATAAATAGTTAATTAGTATGACTTGATATATTCACATTTATACTTTTTGTGTATAAAAGTTAAAATTCTTGGGACAACAACCGGACAAGTGGTAGCTATATCCGGAATGCATGAACATCTTCAGAGTCAGCTCCCAACATCACCAGCAGCTCCGTTCCAAAAAAATTTGTACGTAAGGTGCAAAAGTGTAGTATGAGTACAATCGATCCCATGTACCCAGTAAGTATCTTGTCTAACCTCGTCGAAGTAGCGACGAGGCTTTTAGTTAAAAGCTACTCACTAATATAACATGTACAGTAAACTAGCAATAGAACAATACTACGATATAACAAAAAAGAGTGCACAAAAAACGAATATGCAAAGCAATAAGTGAGTACTAGAAGAGATCACAGTTTAATATTTTCCAATATCTCCACCAATCTTTTCCTTAGAGCGAAAACTAATAAACCACAATAGTCACTCCATAACTTTCATAACGTAAGAAATGTACTCAGATATCAAGCCAATTGCACGGCAACACCCTTCGTGCATTTATCTTTTCCTCACCAAATATGCGTATAACAGTACCAACCGGATGGCAGAAATGGAGATAACAGTAATGACAAAGTAGAAAATACGCAAGTAGCAATAATGAAGGGGGATATACATATGGGCAACGGTAATAGACTAGGCGGAAGGCATGGGAGTAATGACAGCAATTAGGAAAAAGGAATATAAATTTCAACTAACTAGCATGGTGGAGGCCTAGTTATAGATATAACAAATAAGAAGGGAACACATTATCTTTATAATTAACAAGTAGAGGCATGAATGGCTAACATGGTAGAAGGTTTGTACTAAAGTGTAACAAAATAGATACGACATGGATGTAATTATAGCAGCATGAAATAGGCATGGTATTTACAAATTAAGCAAGTAGAAAGCATGGGCAACACAACAACAATTGAGATAGAGAACAAGGACGTGGCAATAAACAAGTCACATAAGAACCATAAGTACGACAATAACAGCTCAATGTAGAGGCATGAACGTATACACGAGGAAAAGATATCACAACATAATGCATGTCCCTCGTCCTCGCTTACACGAAAACACCCATCGTGCCATAAACTCGTGATAATATAAAAGCATGATAATATAAATGTAATGGCACGGCATCACCCTTCGTGCTTTACACTCACATAGCATGGCACGACATCACCCTTTGTGCTTTACACTAACATAACATGGCACGGCATCACCCTTCGTGCTTTACACTCTCCCTCACATGATAATATATACAATGGCACGGCATTACCCTTCGTGCTTTACACTCTTCCTTACCAAGCATATGTATATCAATGACAAATAAGGTAGGAAACATAGATAATGTCAAGGAGAGTGTTTAAATAGATATTCCAAATGAACCCCAATCACAACTTTCAAGCCAACAATAATTCAATAAACCCCTCAAGAACCTTATTATTCAAGTATTTCAACAAGTCTCAAGAATGATCTACAACACGAGTGTAGAATCTAATGTCTTAAGAATATCGGTCGTAGCAATGTATTAATGATTAAACATAATGATGACTGAATTAGACACATCAATGTTTCTTAAAATTCCGTCAAATTTCAATCAAATTATAATAAACTAAATCTTGGTTTCTAATATTTAATTCTATATTCTTAGTATCTAGGAGTCAAGTAAGACATGAAGCAAGAAGGTCACGTAATTTTACAAGGCACAATTCATAGTATAATCTACCCCCGAGCATGATTAACCCTATCACCCCCGCATGTAGCAAATAATGTCAAATAGTAGAAAAAATTCTCTCTGCAAAGTTAGGCAAGACACTTACCTCAATTCGGCCAACTTAATACTCAATTGCCTTTTTCCTTTACAAATTCACCTTCGCTCGGCTCAATCTAGCCAAAGACGACTTAAATACATCACATAATGCAAGAGAAAATAATTTCAATTAATAAAGATATGATCTTTATACAATTCCTAAAAAGTCAACAAAAGTCAACAAAAGTCAACCCCTGTCCCACCCCGGGTCCAAGGGTAGGTCTTGACTATCCATAGCCCCCGCGAGTCCATTTACGTGTTTTGTTTCCAAATTCGAGTCATATTCGACTCTCAAATCCCAAATTTTCATTTTTCAAAGCTTTGACAAAATCCCCAAATTTTTTCCTAGATTCTCCTGAATTTGATGTTAAATCTTATGTATAATCATGAAATATAATTGAAAATTGATTAGAGGTACTTACCTAATGGTTTGGTATGAAAATCCTTCTACAAAATCGCCTCTCATCGAGGCTAGGGTTCAAAATATAACAAAATGAAGCTAAGTCTCAAAATTTCCAGCTATATGCAGGTTGCAGATGTCGCAAATTCGCAAATGCAAACCCCCCAAAAGTGGACAACTCATCGAAAAAGCGAACCAGGCAGAGTCCTGCTAAATTCACATGCACGATCAAAATATCGCAAATGTGAAGACAGCTACCTTCGCAAAAGCAGTAGAAGTCTTCGCAAAAGCGAACAGTCCACACTCGCAATTGCGAGAAATTTCTTCGCAAATGTGAATTTCTCCCCAGCCCAGTTTTGCAAATGCGAGGGACACTTCGCAATTGCGATAGTCGCATCTGCGAAAAAAACATCGCAAATGCATTGACACTAGTACCAGTACTCAAAACTCATAAAAACCATTCGAAACTAATCCAAAATTCACCCGAGCCCCCCAACCACCCACACTAGTCCAAAAACACAACACAAACTCGCTCACACGATCAAAACATCAAAATAGCCTCTAGAAGTACGAATCGGACATCAAAACACATGAAGATCACAATAAACTTCAAGAACTTCTAGAATCGCAACCAAGCGTCCGAACCATATCAAATCAACTCCAAATGACGTCAAATTTTGCAGGCAAGTTCCATATGACATAACGAAGCTATTTCAATTCCCGGAAATACAATCCGAATTCGATATTCTCAAAGTCAACTTCCAGTCAAACTTATAAACTTTCCAAACCTTCAAATTTCCAACTTTCACCAATTAGTGACGAATCCTTCTAGAAATATCCAAATGCAAATCCGGACATACACCCGAGTCCAAAATCACCACCCGAACCTAATGGAACCATCAAAACTCCAATTCGAGGTCAAATGCTAAAAAGTCAAACTTGGTCAATCTTCCAATTGAAAGCTACAATCCTGAAGTTTATTCTTCCAAATCTATTCCGAGTAACTTGAAAACCAAGACCGACAATTCACACAAGTCATAATACATCATGCGGAGATACTTGTGCCCTCAAACTGCCGAGCGAAGTGCAAATGCTCGAAACAACCAGTCTGATCGTTACAAATTTTAACAAGTTAAAGGTTAGTGAGTTATGTAAATAATTCTTGAGTGTCTCTTTATAGTGATACCACTGTAAATATTAAAGAATACAATAGATTTCTTATGGGAAAAAAACGTTTTACACAAGGATGTGAGACCTCCAACTCAAAGCACGACGGTATTGGCGGGAAGTCAACGAGGACAAAATGGCGCAGTTTTGGCCACCTTATATTTTATACTATCTGTCCCATTTTAATTGTCGATTTAGTTTTCTTTCACGGCCACTAAGAAAATACAAAATATAATTTACTAAGTTAACCATATTAAATATTTTTTGAGAATTGAGCAATATTAAAAAGAATAATTATTTCTTTAATATTATAGGTATAATCGGAAACAATTAACAAATATAGACTTAAATTTCTAAAATGACAAATATTTTGGGATAATATTTTTGAGCTAAAACGACAGTTAAAATGGGATGGAGGACTAAATTTTTAGCAAGTCGCCATCCTACTTGTCTTTATTTTTCTTTTATTGGTTTGTCTCTATTATGTTTGATATTCATTTTCTTTCTTTCTTCACACTCTTAATTATATGGCTCTTAATTGAAATGTACCTG